CACACACTCAGCCGCGTTGCGGCGCTCTAGCATAAAAACCTAAATAGGCACCTAAAAAGCCTTAGAAAAGAAAGAAAGAAAAACAGAAAGAGCAGCGCTAAAAGGGCAGGAGAGAAAGATAGGTGTAGTAAAAGGTGAATACTTAGCCCTTGACTGGGGCAGGGAAACGAACCTCAAGAACCACCTAAAAAGCCTGAAAGAAAGCCCAACAAACGACGAAAACCGCAAGAAGGAAAGCGGGGGGCAGGGAGGGGGTGTATGTCCATGTGTGTGTACACGTGTGGGTCTGAATACTTAGCACTCTAGAGTTACTGATTACTTAGCGGAAACGAATTAGGTGCACTAGTTAGGGAGCGGGACTTTAGTCTTAAACCGCCCGGGTAGAGTAGACTAGAAAAGGGACAACAGAGGGAAAGGCACCGACGCACAAGTGTGTCGAGTACCGTTTCCCTCTGTTACCCTAATTAGAAGGAGGGGGGGGGTTGGGGTGTGTGGGTAGAGAACGCGTTTGGGCTTAGTCTCCGTGAGCCCGGTGGCTTTGCATTTCCAAGAAGCCCGGCGGCTTTTGTTTTTGGGAATACAGTAGTGAAACGAAAGTCCGTTAAGATAATCCAACGTATGCAGAAAACGGCAGAAGCTGTTAGTGGTAGTCTGGAGTGAAATCAGCGCCCCAGTGACGGGGATCACACCCTGCACCCAAGTGGGACGGCAGAGCGGCGCACACTCTGACAATGGGCTTGCAGTTAACTCAGTTCCCAGGTCGAAAAAGGTGATGGAACCGCGAGGTGGAAGGGTCAGCGCACTTGAAATGTTGAACAATTTGTTAAACATGTCTGCGGTGTCGAGCGTCAGCGCGACTCAGCTGCAGGAAGCGCGACAGAAGAAAGGTTTAAGGGAGGTATCATGCAAACCACCATGGAAGCAAAACAAGGAAAAATGGGGTGACAGCTTGTGAAAAACTCAGCAGGTACATGGTTGAGCGTCCTCAACCACTTCCCTTCCAGTGACCCAGCTTCGTTGGATCAGGTTAGTCACTGGAAGCCTGATCCCCTGCGTGTAGAAACTCTTGGAAACAGAGTGTGGCGCACACACACACACTTAGGATAGGGTGTACTGAACTGAGCGGTGCCACACGCCAGCCTAGGGTTCCATTTCCTAAGAGTATCAGTAGGAAGCCATCGAATCCTGGGGGTCTTCAAAAGGAAAGGTGGCCCAAAGCGTAAGAACGAGGTCGGCGATCAGGTCGAAGTGACGGCGTTCCGCGCGTGACTGCCGCAAACTTTAAAATTGTTGCAGGTACGTTCCCGAGGCGTCCCTCAGGAATATCACATCCGATCAGCAGTGTCTTTGTTAGGCAGTGACTGCTGAAAGGACCACTGCCCCCCCTGCTAAAAAGAAAAACAATTCAACGGAATCCCTGTGATTACAAGGGGTACACACACACACACGGTGGGCGGCTTTGGCGTAATAGGATTTATGCGTTCCAGGAGTTTGGCAAGAGCGGATTATGGAGTGTGAAATAATTGCAAATATGGGGCCCAAGTCGTTTTTTTTTCGGGTCCTTGTCGCATCAAACATGTTTGTTCACTCACCAATCACATCGTTTTCACGAGATCTGGGTCGATGGTCGATTTGGTCTATTGAGGTCAGTTCGTGGAACTAGTGGAATCCGGTTGTAGAGCCTGTCATTGACGTCACATGGCCTAGTTTTTCCATGTTTTTCTTCGCTCCGACCAAACACATCAGTAGCCCAATGGGATCCTTGTTGACAGACTGGGATGTTGGCAGCATGGATTTGGGCAAGGCCACTAGTTCGCTGAGTGTTGCATAGCTAGCGCTTGTCACTCCAGCAGCAATCAAAGGGAGACTTTCGACGGGATGATCATGCGCAGTGATTCCACCATATTGATTCACATTGTAGCAATGCAACCATTAGATCATTATATAATTCTCCGCTTGTCGCCTGCTAAGGCCAGAGGGTCCCTGAAGACTTGTGCCGCGCTGAACACGATTCGTGTGAAGATTTAGAGTTGTTGACGGATGAGAGTGGCACATGGGTATTCACATGGGTGGCACCTTGCAGGATGGGTGGCACCTTGCAGGCTGCCCAGAGTCGGGTTCAACTCTTTGTAGTTCTTGTACGATGGATGACATCTGGACCAATCGAACAGATTCAAAACGCGGAGCGTTTTTTTTTTTCGCCGGCCATGCATCAACGGGGGAATTTGCAGGATGAAACAGTCGGAACATGACATGTATTGACTCGGAAACCCTTTGGAGTTTGTGTTGAAGGGCGAGAAATTGACAACTATTGAGTAGGTTTGTCCCAAATGTGTCTCCAGAACCTACTCAAGTACTGCAAGTATCTCACCATCTCACACCCGCGCCCAGGTCGGCTGCGTTCCTCTCCAGAGTTTTCTCAGCTGTGTTCCGTTTACAGACCCAGCTTTGTCCAGTTTTGCTAAGCAAGGCTGTGACACATGGGGATGTCTCAAAATCAGGGAACCCTTCGCCCAGTGGGTGTTCATCAGTTTCCCTCGTACAAGGGATCTTTGCGGGGTCGGTTTTCATTTTAAGACAACCCACATCCTCCCAGTGGATCCTTGACTTATCTTGACTTCACTAGGCAATGCCAAGCAGTTTCCCTTTTCGTGGCCTTTTGAGCATGATCGGATCCACTGGGTGTTGTACAGAGAGATCTCCATTGCCATCAATTGCGGTGGAAAACAGCCATTCGTGGCGTGGAGGAGTGGAGTCGAACGGTTTTCTCAAAGAACGGCACTCGTTTGACCTGTCGATTCCAGAATGCCGATTGTTCTGCAGGTTTCTTACTTGCCAATTTCTTTACTGTACACCAAAATGCATCCAACAACGGCCTTCCAGGCTCATACACACATTGCTCTTCATTGCTCGCGGTTTTGGCTGGCCATGTTCACCACACCCGATCTGCATCCAACGGGGTCCCAGGATTTGCATCCCCGTGTCCATCTCCCGTTGAGATTTAATGTTGCCCTTCTCGCTCGTCAGGCTGGTAGATGAGTCCTTGAAGTCATGCCATCGCCTTGGCGTCTGAGCGAAGGTCTTCTCGCGCGACGGTCGCCGCGGCAGTCACCAAAAAACGAGGAAGGACATCGGCAATAAAAGGAAGGCTTTGCCGGACCGTCGCTGAAAGTGTCTCAATGAAGGGGGAGAAGCAGCTGGACCGCGGAAAGATGCCGGCTCGGTGATGCCAAGCAGAAAGAAGTAAAGATGGACTATGATGATGAAGTGTTCTAATTGTGCAACACAGAATGCATCAAGTGGCAGCCCATCCGGATGTTTTTGCACATTCTCCTCGAACTTTGAAAAGGTTTCCAATGGTTTCCACTTCCCAATATGCCAGTCAGCTATGTACCATGAACCAAAAGGTTCTTTCTGTCAGGAGAATTGGCGTTGGTTCCTATTGTGTGTGTGGGAGGCAGTGTGTCAGGATCAGAGGGTTTGATTCCAAGATTGCAGGCTAAATGCGATTCTCACATTTTCCCACACCTTGCAGTTCGCAGAAATCTCCACAGATGGAGAAGAGGAATGAAGAGGATAAGATCAGACGATGTTTCACCACGAAGGAAGGTAGAAGATTGTCCAAAACCACCCCCAAGGCCTGACCAGCCTTTGCAGCGAGCGTAGCGTTCCTCAAGTGGTCGACCTCGACAGCGAGTCGATCCTGGCAAGCGCGCTGCCCAAGGCGAGTGTCACGTGTTCGGCGCCACAAGGCGAGTGGTTCGGACATCCACCCAGCCGTCGGTGTTTTCGGAAAGGACTGCCACCAGCTCAGAGTTGCCTTCCTACGCCAGTACCTGAGAGTTGGACTGGAGATGCGCCCTGAGAGTTGGACATCCAGTCTTACAGACCATGCCACATCTTGAAGGTGAACGCTTTTGGACCTTGTGAGAAACGCATTCGTTTTGTTTGAGGTCCTGCCTCCGTGTTGCGGGCTGGTGAGGGCACGTTGAGGTGGGACTGTCCACTCCGTTGGCGGCACATGCGGGGTTTCAGTGCGTGTGCTTTTCTTGCTTGGCTTTGCTTCACAGAAGTTGGAGGGGTACACAAGTGACATCACACAGATCAGGCCCAGATCGGCCCTTTGAAAAGCAACGCCATTTAGCGGTAGAAAACAATATTCGCCGGATCAAAAAAGAATCCTGAGTACTGTAGGTCTCCTCGTCCATTGGTCCCCTGGTCCTTTTCCTGGTGCTGGCCTCATGGTGAGTTGGTCAAAAGCGAGAGAGTTGCGAAATTAACAACATGTGTGAATTTGGGGCGAATTCTATCGAATTCTACTTATAAAGAACGAGTACAGAACGAGTTTTTCTTGATTATACTCTCGCCGGTTGCCTTGGTCCTTCCGGCACTTTCTGGATGCCCTTCATTCATGGGGCAATCAGGTGTGTAGTTTCCGATAATGATGTCTATTTTGTGGTGCCTTCTGAGTTTGGTGGCTCTTGATCTTTGGTCCGCCACCAAATCCGCACCACTTTTTCCAATGCATTGCGCCTGCCACGATTTGTATTTTTTGAGGTCACCCATCGCATCTGCCCTCGTGTAAGTCTCTTTGATTGTGTGTTGCAAGCATCCTTTCGTTCTTTTTTGTTCCTTGTCGGTGGATTTTGCGGATTGGATTGCTTTGCATGGGGCTTCCTGATCCTTTTGTCTCCCTGCTGTTGTCCTTTCCCTAGTCTTTTTGTCCTTTCATTGCTCACTGGGAATGACTATTATCCTTTCTGTTTCTTTTTGATCCCCGTCGAATATGTTTTGTTGATGCGATTCTATTTTTGTTGATTCCTCTATAATTCTATAGGCATTACCCACTGCACTTGGAGTCTCAAAGTAACTTGGAAAAGGGGTACAAATACGTGTTTTTCTATGGGGTCAGGTCACATTTTCTGCGGTAACAGTCCTATTCGGCATCAAGAATCATCATCACATTCATATGTTTGAATCCAGCGTTGACCTGGAGTTTGAAAAGTGGTAGAATTGGGTTGCGTCAATTCTTACCGTCCTGACCTGCAACTGAACCAGAGAGTTTGTGAGGCCAGAGAATGGGTTTTGTGACCCAAAAAAGAGTCAGGAGCCCCTAGTAGCTTCTTGTTCCTAGTAGCGATGCCATGAGACCCTAGTAGCTTCTTGTTCTTAGTAGCGATGCCCTTTTGCTCCTAGTAGCGAACAACCATTCTTTGAGGGTTGTGGCCCGAAGAAGGTTTGGCGGGTCTGCGGAAGAAGAGTTTTTCGCCAGACAACGCTGCGTGCTGACGTCCAGTGCTTTGCTCCTGCGGCAGAATGAGCTGCTGGCATGATTTGTTGAGGATGCGGCGAGTTAGGGGAAGAACAGGACCAAACCACCGGAAGGAAAGATGCAGGGAGGCTCATGCAAAAGGGTGTGTAGATCAAAGACATGCTGTATGGATCTGTATGGCAGAAACAACATGGAACAATTTCGTAATATACAATATATCGCTATTTAGACCTTTGATCTTGACCATCTCCTATTCGTGGGTTGCCCTTTCCTGAATGATTTTTGGATGCTTTCCTGAATGATTTTTTGGGATCTGGCAGTCTGGTCTCGACTTTCCAAACAATGTGCCAACCATGGGGACGACATCAGCGTTACCAGCACCCACAGCAGCAGAAACAGCAACAGTGCAACAACAACAACAACAGCAACTCGGACAGCCCTGGTGGTTCAAACAAGCAACACAGGTTAATTGTTCAGTTCGACTTTTGAAAGGAATTATACAATTCGCTGTGCTTTGGCTGATGTCAGGTGGAACTGCGTCATGCAGTGGCCAAGCTACGGGAGGCGAGACATTAAGAAAGCTGTTTTAAGGAACCTGGTAGTTAATATAGCGAGGGCCTCCCCTACTATCGATGGCCTCCAACCTACCCTGACCCTACTAGCGATGGCCTCCAACCTAGTAGCGATGGCCTCCAACCTAATAGCGAATTTGGTATCCCTCAAAGCTTGGAATGGCAAGCGGACTGAATCAAGGTTCAAGATTTTAAGTATGTGACAAAGCATGGATGTTATGATGTTCATATCGTTGATCTTTGCGTGGATGATTGAATGATGTTCAATCTATAGTCCGCGATTTTCCATCTACCGTCTAGCTATAGTCAACTTGCTTCACCCTTCATTTTGTAACTGAATAAGATATCACACACCTTTCAATCTGGTCCTAAATAACGTATGGCCTGTATGGCATTTATATATACTCTTTCCTTCAGTGTCGGCCCTTCAAACTCTCCAAACCTTTGATCGAGCTTGACTTGGTCAGCAAACGTGTTTTTTGGTGTTCCTCAGCTCTCGCAGCTGTCGCTAGCGTTGCTTGTCGCATTGCTGTCTTCCGCACTTCTATCTTGCTCCACCGGAGGCATCAAGCCACTCAGCCATCGCCAGGCTTTCGTTTGCATCACCCAACTTGGCCCTTTCCTCCACTGCTTGCTCACCGTCGCTTGACACTTGTCAGAGGTTTGCGCATATGAGACTTGCAGCGGTTCAAGGCGTTGGGTACAGTCTGAGACAACAATAGACAACAGGTATCAACAGATATTGTTTTCTGCTACAGAACAAATTTACATGCACAAAACAGCAGGTGTGCTTGTAGAGCATGCGCAAGGACGTTGAACAATAGGCGCTATTAGGCATTGGTCCTGCGCGACCATGCACATGAAATTCAGGCCTGTGATTCTGGTGGTGCTTCCGGTGGCACTTCTTGGAGTGTTTCTGACTCATCATCAGCTGAGCCCTTTGCGCCAATTCATTTGCATTCCTGCTGCCGCGACAGCGGCCTCTTTGAGTTGGGAGCTTTCAGGTGTCATTGATCGTTTCGGCGGGGCTCGACAATATTTCGTTGGATTGTGTAACAGGAGCTACACAATTCCGGATCTGTACGATGTGTTTACAGCTCATTCAATTGAGTGGGCAATTTTGGGGAAGAAGGATCCTTGGTGGAGCGTCATTTCGGCCGATGAATTCAGAGGGAAAGTGGACCTTCCGGCGGAACAAAAGCAGCGCTTCTACGACAGCGGGAAGATTCATCGTGATATGATTCTTCAAGATATACAAGTGAATGGGAGCAGGCCATTGGACAATCGTTCAATTTCTGTCCTGGACTTTGGCTGCGGTGTTGGACGCTTGGGCATGGCCTTCGCCAGGACTTTTGCAGAAGTGACCTGTGTGGATCAAAGCGTGTTCCATTTGGAAATCGCAAAGAAAGAGTGGCAGATTCAGAAAGAAAGCGACTCGGAAGCTCGAACGTTCGGGCAGCTGAATCTGAAAATGTCTGGGCCCGATTTGCTGGCTGCAGTGGCTGCAAAAAGATTTGATTTTGTGTATTCCCTGATTGTATTGCAACACATGATTTCACCTCTACAAATTGTCTATTTGGAACAACTGTGCGACATATTGAAACCTGGAGGCCAAGGCTGGGTTCACATTCCCACCCTGATTCCAAGAGGTTTGGCCTCCAGACCCTGTGACGTGCAGCTCTCCAAGAAGCAAGGCGGAATCCAGATGTATCATACTCCAAAGGTTTTTCTCGAAGAAAGCTTCAGATCTCGAGGGTGCAATGTCACCGTGCTGGAGAGGGGCGGCATTTGGATCAATCCAAGCTCGACGTCCGGCATCATCTTATTCAACAAGCCGTCACATGCAGCATCTCTTGAGTGACCCAGAATGACCCGTTGGAGTTCGGAGAAGGAGGATTGGTGCGATGTCATTTTCTGTTTGATTTGCAGCAACCTTTGGGTGTATCCCACCTGCCCGCAACCCGGATCACTCTGAAAGAGAACGTTTCACTGTGGCTTCCAGAGGTGGACAGTGGGAGTTCTGTGGACGTAACAATAGTGTTTGAATGACCCGAAAAGGAATTTCCTTTGGTGGTGCGAAATATAGTCGAACTGCATGGAGCTCTATCTATTATAAGATATATATATATGTTATATATTATACTTTAGGTCCTTTTTCTGTAAATTCCTCCTGTCAGGCAAAGTCCACTTGAAGCCTCAGCACATGAATGGTTTTGCAAACATGTTTCAGAGTGGGAGGCTAGATGCTAGAGTCTTACAGGGTTTTGTGCAGTATGCAGTATTCTCAAAAGGTTTGGTTTAAACAACAAATTGTCATTTGCACCGTTGCTGTGGAGCCCCTAGTAACCGAGTGCGCGGAGAGATAGATGTGTTTGAAGACATCACCGTCAGTGTTCTATGGCCTTGAAGTGAAGTTGGATGCCATTTCACCAGGCTGCACCAGGGAACAATATAATGAGCCATTCCTTTGATGCTAAGGCTTAGTGATATGCAAGAGAACAAAGTAAGACCTAAAAGTAGTCAACCGTGTAACAAACCCATGCTAAAGAAAGCAACTCAAAGCCGAAGACCTCCTCCGATTGTCCCACTCCCTGCGCAGCATTCGGCGTTTATTTGGGGTGGACCATGTTGGTAGTCTGTACACATGCTATCTAGACTGTTTGGTATTTGCCAGAAATCAAAGGATTCACCAGTTGATGAATCAACCCCAGCTCTTGTGATGCTTTTGTCATTTCCTTTTCTATCCTTTTCTGTTTGACTCTTTTTTGGAGACGCCTCTCACAAAACAATCTTGATCCGCCAGGAGTTGGCCGCCTCTGCGGCCGAGCGAGTCCGTTTGGCCCTGGAAGAGTGCGAAAATCCAGGCCGAGGACATGGAATCATGACGCGAGAGCGGGGGTATGACAAGAGTTGGAGATTTAGGATTTCTGGGGGAGTGACTAAGTCGTTTTCAGACCTGCAAAACATCCCATCACAGAACTTAATTCTGTCGCAGGTTGTGCAGGTTGTTTTCTGAAACAACACATCACAAAACCAAGTCCTGAGGTAAATGACCAGCGCCTTAACCAATGTAATGAACATTTATTTCACGCGCTGTTTTCAAGAAGAATAACTTGAAGGTCGGCTTTAGCCCTTTAGCCGCTTTAGCCTATTCCAGAATCGTCCTGTCCATTTGTTTGTTGCCTTCACTGTCACACAGAGGGATGATTGCTCCCCAAGCCCTCACGAGCACAGCAGCTGGATGTCAGGTGGTGTCTTACACTTGCCCTGGCGAAGCCTCTTCACACCCGAGGCCAATGCGAAGTTGTTGCTGGCCCGCTAGGAAATAGATTTGAGTTGGCTAGCCGCTAGCCTTGGCAGTTAGACATGACTTGCGAAGGGGTTCCTCATAGAGTTCACCTCAGATACGAAGGTTTGACGCATTGCCAATTGCCATGAAGCTGGTCATCGCAGCTTGACGAGACTGGTATTCGAGAATCCTAGCAACATCTATCAACACATTCAACACATTGGTTAACGGGGACAGTGCAAGATAAATTTGTCAGCAAGTTTGGTGGTTCCTGACAGAGCACCTCAAAGACCTGGTGATATATCAGTGAAGTTTGAAAGTAGATGAACAGTAATCACTTGACCACTTGATGACTCCAGATCATGAAGAGTTGGTTCATGCACACCAATCCAGTTGAGAACCCCCCAGATCAGACCCAAACAAAGCAGTCAGAGACCTAATCTCGTCCAGGACTTGCAGTCAGAGACCCAGCCAGCTTTTGTACAGGACGATTTCGTGACCGGTGCTTTTTTGCGGATGGATTTCTGATGACCAACGGCGCCATGGGCCTCTGGTGGGTGCGTCGTGGCCGCGCAAAACCGTCGTGGCCACCCATCCGCCGTTCGCGGAGCGAGGTTTCCTGTTTGGCTCGGGGACTACTGCATGCCAGATGAGGCCAGCAACGCAAGCAACGGCAGGGCTGATGACAACGAGGGCCTGGTGTTCAACAGCAGGTGCAGGATGGCACAGGGTCAACGCCACCTGTTGGTCCACAGCGTGTGCAGCCCATCATGGTCTTGGCATGTTGGGTGATACAAAGTCATAGGAAGGGAATCAATGATTATCGCAACACATAGCAACCATCTATAACACCCTGAACGTGGATATTGATTCCTTACGATGCAGCGCAGAGACCAGTCATGGTTTGGGGGGTACCAGTCACGATTCGTCCCTTCCGTCGAGTCAAACAGGTCGACTTCGCCCCATGAAGCCGTTCCCAAATGGGAAATACGTTCGTAGCGATGCCCTACTGTAGCTATACGTCCCGTAGCGTCCTTGCTACGTTCGTAGTATTGCCAGGAGCTTAGTAGCTTCTTGCCTGCAGGCCCATGAAGCCGCCAAAGAGCGTTTGGGACAGCTCCTAGGTCCCAGATCTCAGTGATGGGCCGGCAATGCCATGCACCGTTGGGATTGTTCGGTCACCGTTGAGACTGTTCCCATTCCCCTTTTGCTTCGAGTCTTCCGCCACCAGCTGAGGCATCCAGGAAAGTGCTTTGGAAGAGGCGAGGTCGGTCGGAGCCGTCCAAAAGCAACGTGTCATTGACCGAGTGGACTGGTTTCGGACCGGGTTGACGGGTGCCTTGGACCGGGTCGGATCAATGTGACGCTTTAGAAACCACCGAAGGGCATGCGAGGCGAAAGGAATGTGATGCAAGAAAGGTAGAAAGGTGGATATACCCCCACAACGGCACCTTCTTGAGCAGGTAGCCGCTTCTCCTGCAAAGGTTTCTACCACGGCCCACGGCAAATAAGATCAAATTTGACTCCAATGGATAGTCTTCACTTGGTATCCTGAGTCCATCCCTTCATGAAAGGCGCCGGAGTATCTGGATGAGCACACCATCCTGAAGGCCAAGCACGAGGGCACCTACCGACGCTTGAAACGATCCCAGGGCGACAGCTCACCGCGATCGTGGGGGTGGCAGTGGGGCGATTGGAGTGCTTTTTCAGAGACCTCAAGTGTGCAGAAATTCTGCTATCAGCAAAGGACTGAGAAGATATTGAAAGGTAAACTTAGAGGAGGAAAGCACTAAGGGGTTTAGGTGAGTCAACCAGGTTCTGTTATGTCTTCGCTCAAGAGTAGTTGAGGACACCTGCATGATCCTGCATGTGTGAGAAGCATGCGGTAGATTCTTCAAGGACGGTTGGTTTCCCGCTCTGCTCCAGACCAAGGACCACGCACGATGGAGCAAGCGAAAGCTCCACCTGCCAAGGAGAAGGAGAAGGCCGTTTCCATGGAGGTTTTCTGCAAGAACGATCAAAGCAGTTCGGAAGGATACATCAGATATACCTGCACCCCGTCCAGGGGTGTCCAACCAGGGGTGTCCAATACGGGGTGTCCAATGGAGTTCGAACCGTACCAGCACATAGAGGGTAGTCTACGGATGGTCCCGGTGAAGGCGTTTCGTGTCTTTACACGTCGCGAATCATTCACGAAGGCACAGGGCTCTACACCTGCCGTGCCAGCGCTCGCGGCATGTCCGGAGCCTTTGAACGTCACCCTGGTAAGCCATGTCTGACAAAGAAGTGAAGGCATCGTTTGTTCCTCTAGTGTGTGTTGCGGTGTGTTTCCAGCCATCACCTCCGATGTCCGAAGAGTCCCTAATCGAACGAGCTCATGGAACCAATGGACGTCTCAACAGCTTGCAACTGGTCCTGAGCGAACTGAGTGAAAGCGAACCGGCAAGGCGTAGGGATGGTGGTCCTGATCCTGGCCGTGGCAATTCCCAAGTTGCTGTGAGGCAGAAGTTCTCCAGCTGCGCGGATCTTGGGTGGGATATAAGCAGTACAGGAAAGCACGAGTTCCATCTGGTTGGGTATAATTATATAGCTGTGAGCTTCTTATTCGCCCCTTCTCATACTTTAATTGTGTTGTGGGAGTGCAAGTCAACTTGCTCACAAAGCACGCGCAAGCCTCACGTCATGTGCCCTGTCTCAAAGACAACCTGAACCTTCATTTCTAGCAGCTCTAGCACTTTTTGGGGCAAACCTAGGGTTTGAGCACTTGTTGGACTATTGTAGCTGTTTAAATGAAATGCGCGCTTTTGGGGGTTTTGAAGGGCCTTGAGCATTGTTTAAGATGCTGAAGACTGTTTTCTTGGGCCAAAGGTGGAAACCTGCTGCAAAATGCACACAAATTGAAAAGTGGTGAACCACCCCAAAATGGGTGGAGATGAGAGGGCCCCATGCACAATTGTCGAGTGATTGTAGTGTTTTTTGCTTAAATGAGCACTGTTGTCATGAGCGATTTTTGGCAGAGAAGGAATCTTCAGGAATTTGCACCGCACATACCTTGCGATGATTTGCGATGTATGTCGAGTATGGAAACGTTTTGGAGATTGCTTCAGGCCACGCTTACTGAAAGGACTTGTGAAGACATGGCCAAACGAGTCTCATCGTACTTTGACCTTCGAGATGCAGTGTATCTCCTTTGCAGGTCGTGGCAGAAGCGAAGAAGATGATAGATAGTGGCCAAAAAGTGTGGCTCAGCAGGGGGGTTGTTTGACATGCATGAAGATTGTGATGTATTTGGTTTTGGTCCATAAGACCAGCATCATGTGCTTTCACCACCAGGTGTTCCATTTCCAGTGGATGAAACCACCTCCTAGTCGAGTCCTCATCCAACATACTCAGCCGGTGTGAAATACCCGCTGTCGCCTTTGATTTCTGTCATCTGTCACGTAGCCCACGTAGCCGCTTCTCTCGGACGATCCATTTCTTCGTGACGAGGCCAGGAGGCCGTGGCGGAAAACGGTCACCAGTGGAAGCAGGTGTTGCAGTAGATGTGCAGGTCCAAGCAGTAGATCTGCAGGTCCATCAGCTCCTCTCATAGCTCTCCCCTCACCAAACAGAGAAAAACACATGCGAACAAACTCACAGAATCTGATGATGTGCAGGTTTGATTCTTTGGGGTGATCAGTGCTTCATGCCATGTGCAGGTTTAAACTCTTCAATGCAGCTTAGACTGGTGCCGCGTGTCGTCCTGGGCTCAATCATATCTTTGGTGACGGACTTCTTTTTTGACACATTGGGAAGCAAATCATATCTTTAAGCTCACTTAATTAAGTAGGTGCCTACTGAATTAGGTACGGTGAGGGCAACTATTTCGCTGCTAGGAGAAGTTCGCTCCGAGTCCGCTCGGACGCAGGATAGCTCTCGTATTTGGATTTGGTTCGATGTTTAGACACAATTCTTGGAGGTTCCCACATGCTTCTAGTAACAAGTGCATCGCTACTAGTAACAAGTGCCTTACTACTAGGAACAAGAAGCTATTAGTAACAAGAAGCTACTGGTTCCCACAAGTGCTTCTAGGAGTTGTTTCTGAATTGGACATACCTTGAAGCGGGAACCGACATCCTCCGGGGTCTGGGGAACGGACATGTGAGGGGTCCCGACCTTTCACGCGATGGTCGCACCTTACAGACCTTGGTGATACACCGGGTGTGTGTGTAGGTCATTCAATGTCATTCATGTATCAAGCAGGAGAGACTGATCTCAGAAATAGGTCCCTCTGGAGCAACAGGTCTAACACAATCCAACAAAACGGGAAAAAGGACCTCAGCATGATCGCAAATGATGTATTATGTGAAATGAACTTGGTTTAAGACACAAGCGGCATGAAATGTCATGAATTGCGAATTGTTCACCTGAATGAGCCTGAAACGGAGAGAGAGAGAGAGAGCATTGGCGTGGCTTTGTCAATCGTCCGCGTTGCTTTTTGTCGTTGTCGTTTCAGTGGTTCGTTCGCACACCACCTGCGTTACTAGTTATTTGTGTTGTGTTTCTAGTCGTTTGCTTTGTTGTTTAATTCCGGTAAGGCTTCCACATAATGAAAACAGTTCTTTATCATGTTTGATCGCCAAACACACATACACGCAGGAAGGACATCAACGCCACGTATCGCCACGTGGCATCTTGAAACTGATTGGCACTCAACAAATACGCTGCTTGGCCCATAGGTTTTGGGGTCCAAAACTCCAAGGTAGGTATTCCCAGGCACCAGGTTGTTACCGTTCGTATTGAAGCAGTGTCTCTGTCTTACTGGGCGAAACCGACGAAACCGACGCAAGCGGTTTCCTGGGTGACTCGTGCGGTCGCTCACGGCGGTCGCTCCGCTCACAGCGAGCTCTCAGGCAGGTAGATCTGCCAGATGGCTGCCGGCCCTTGAAGGCAGGTTGAAGACATGGACGCTACGAACGGGGCTCCTGGCATCGCCGACTAGGAACAAGGACGCTACGAACGGGGCTCCTGGCCGTACTACTAGGAGCAAGTAGGCTACTAGGAGCAAAGGGCATCGCTACTAGCATTCTACCTGTTTGCTTCAAAGGGGTCGCCGTCGGGCTGAAGGATGACTCTCTGGGAGTCTCTCAGGGTATCGCCCCCCAAATTCCAGTGACGTGAAAGCCACCCAAATGTGGTGTTTCTTATCCTTTTAATGTTGTCGCAGCTCGGTGTGATTCATCCTGGCTCCATCTTCAGTTGCTTCACCTTGGCTGGAGTTCACATATCCACACAATTCCATGGTACCTTTGGTGGGGGTTTGCTTCGACATTGTTGACTTGATTCCTCGCGGGTGTCAACCCATTTGGTATCATTCTAGTCTAGTTCAAGGTGTTACCTAATTTGGCTATGGGTCAAAACATGTCAAAACCAGGTAACAGATAACCCTGCTTGACTGCTGAAAACCCACAGATTCCTCTATATAAGTGATGTCAACCTTGGATGATTCGATTGTTTGCAGGGTGAGGACACCCAGATCTTGCTTTCACTTTCTCTCCTGTAATCTGAACTCTCACTCATCCCACCTCGCTCCATCTGGCTTCCGGCGCGTGCCGCCACATGTTTGTGTTTCTTAACTCAGCTCATCTCAGCCTATGTGCAATCACATGATCATATTTCATCACTCCCCACCTTTGGCGCATCTCACTGTGTCCGTAGGGCCTACGGTGGTTGGCCAAATCGAGTCTTTCTTCCATGATGTCTCGATAACTGGCTGTCATTGGCATTGAAGGAGTGAAGGAGGAGCCCTTCCCATGCATTTTCAATCATTTTGCATCTCAGAAACTTTGGCTCAAAGAGCTGCCTCGTCAGTGCTGCCTCCGTAGCCTTGCGCTCGAGAGCGATGCTCGCCTTGTTTACGTTCACTTTGATCCACAGCTTGTGTTTCGCAGAGGATCCGGAAGCAGTGCCTGGAGCACAGCTGCGAGGTAGCCGTGCCGGCACCGAGGTTGAGTGGCATGATATGTACACTAGAGGCCAGGACTCAGCTCATCAGGAAGAGCACCGTGAAAAAGACTGCTGCCCACCACCTGCCCAGCATCAAGCTAGCAAGAAGTGCTTTCCTGCATGTGACAGTTGCCAGACTTGCATGGGAGGTGTGTGCATGGGAGCACCCTGCGATTCCTGCAATAACATGTGCGACTCCTGCCAGACCTGCCACTTTGGATTTTGCACGGGCTTCACATGCTCTTTCAAGTGTCTCATGTGCTACGATGATCCTTTAATGTGTCCTCCTGGAACGACCTTCATGTCCGGAGGCTGCATCAATGGGAAGTGCATGCCCGGCTCTTGCGTGTAGTTCCATTTAGGCCCACTCACCTTGTATAGCCAAACTCTTGACAGGCTGTTGCCAAAAAGTTTTGGACGGCCTGAACCATCCTGAACTTGTACTGATCCGCTTTATATAGCTTTAGAAACCATGTGGACAACCTGCATGATTCGTTGCCCGATTTGGTCGCAAAAGATGTGTGATCCAGCGCTTGGCCGAAGCAGAAGCATTGTAAGGGGTTGAAATGTAGAGCTCCCAGCTCTATAGTTCACATTTCTTTACCAGGAACATCTTACGAATATTGCATAGACGGTTGTTAATCATTCCCGTGCGTCATGTCACGAAAGCTAGCATGCTAGCTGAGTTCTTCTTTGCTTTAGCAATGTTGTGGTGGGAGGGGCTGCGTGCCTTAAAGCCCCCCCGCGGTTCAACTCCCAGCTGCGCCGTGTAGGGGGTTGGTTGAACGTGTGAACGTGGTTGGTTGGGTGTAACGGTGGCTTGGTGTAAAGGGTGCTGCTGCTGCCGCTCTGCTGCTTGCTGCTGCTGTTTGCTGCTGCCGCTGGTTGCCGCTTTTGTAGCTGCTGCTTTGCTACTTGTTGCGGCTTGGTGCTGCTGCTGCTGTTGCTGACGACGCCGCTGCTACTGCTGCTTGCTGCTTGCTGCTTGCTGCTGCTGCTGCTTGCTGCTTGCTGCCGGTGGTGCTGCTGCTGCTGCGGCTTGATGCTGCGCTGCTGCTGCGTGGTGCTGCTGGCTGGCTGCAGGTTGGTGGTTGCTGCTGGCTGCAGGCGGCTGCTGCTGCTGCTGCTGCTGGCTGCTGCTTGCTGCATAGGACTTGTACTTCACCGTTACAAGTTGTTTACCCCTATTTCTAACCTAATGCATGCATAAGCGGGTGGTAAATTTACCCCCCAGGCTTGCTATAACCATACACCGGCTATTTCCTCAAGACACTCTATTCTTGATACCTTTTACCAGTGCTTATCCTACACTACGGACGCCCTAGTGTATGCACAGTCCTTGTGATGCTTACCCCTCGTTCCGGCTCAAGGCATACATAAGTGTAAATTTACCCCCCAGATTTGCCATAACCATAAGCCGGCTATTTCCTCAAGACACTCTACTCCTTATACCTTTTACCAGATCCTACACTACGGACGCCCTAGTGTATGCACAGTCCTTGTGATGCCAGAAATGCTTACCCCTCTTTCCAGCGCAAGGCATACATAAGCGGGGGGTAAATTTACCCCCCAGATTTGCAATAACCATACACCGGCTATTTCCTCAAGACACTCTATTCCATATACCTTTTACCCGTGCTTCTCCTACACTACGGACGCCCTAGTGTATGTACAGTCCGTATGCTGTCAGAAATGCTTACCCCTCTTTCCGACTCAAGGCATACAAAAGCGGAGGGTAAATTTACCCCCCAGATTTGCCGATCACGCATCTTCGTGCCTGCCAACGAGTGCACCCGGGTTGTTCCAATGTACCCTTCCCAGTCAGCGATGTCACATTTACATTCTTTAGCGCAAAGTATGTACATAGCAACCTTCCTCCCAAAACATGTCATCCCTACATGCTTTGCCGACTATGTAACTAGTACATCCGGTGCGATTCGGCTAGCTTTCGACCTCTCCCCCTGGCCTCAAGTTTTGGGGGATGCTTTCCGGACTCCAGACCCAGCCTAATTTATTACCGGCAGCCTGCGCTGTGTTTCCTCAGACTTGTCAGCAAGTCCAGTGGCTCAGGCTTGAGGCGAAGCTTCTCTTCTTCAAGCAAGGCTGGGTAGCATGCCTTGGTTCGCTTGTGTAGGATGTCCGTGATGTAGGGATCATTGTGGAAGACAGTCGTCTCAAGCCGTGTATATCAGGGGGGATGAGGTCATGCAGACTTGACTCCTTTGCTGTCATGCTGAGGTGGTTGGATCGGCGCAAGAAGCCATCAAAGACCTGTCAGATGGCGCCACGGTTTGCGTTGGCGCACGCCTCAGAGAAGGAACCGCTGTCAAAATCTGGCACATCATGAGTTAGAGTTGCGGTGAGATGCTGTCGGTGCCCTTAACCTAATAGCAATGGCCTCCAACCTAAGAGCGATGGCCTCCAACCCAAGAAGAAGATTTCCAGCTCCAGTTCTTTTTTGACTCCGCATAAACACTCAGCAAAACACTGCTGAGTGTGTTCTTTTCTATGATCACATATTTGTTTATTTAGTGTATTTTATTTACTAATATTTACTATGTCGACCAGACATGGATTTGGAATGATTTGGGAATACCCATGTGGTGACTGTATTTAAACAAATTCGGATGCTGTTCCAAGGCGGCTTTGGCCTTTGTGGTATCCCAGAGAATTTGATTGCTGCGCTGCAGCAACAGGAGACCTGTCCACGGGCTTCACCGGCGAAACCCGAAAAGGACACGTGCGACATGCGTCATGTGTCATTCGCAAACCAGAAATAAGCCAGGCTTTTGACAGAAGATAATCCATTTGCATTAAACAACTTAAAACCAACATTGCATTCTCTTCGTTTGAGGTGTCTTTTCCACATGACGTGGGTCGAGCCTGAGTGTAACCCTAACCGGTCTGGCGTTTATTTGCAGACTCGTGCTGGAAGAAGATGTTAGTGATGCTGGAATAGTTGAGGAAAGCTTTCTATACTCACTACCCTGACCAACCTACAATCATTCAATATCAGACCTGCCCATACAACTACCATAGACATCCAGCTTTGCATTCCAGCTCGCATGGTGACAGCCTTGCAGGGCACGAAAGACCTCACGGCGGGCCACTCAGCGACAGGGAAGAACCGACGACGGGGAAAGGATGCCCGTTCCTCTCGGGGAGAACGGGCCATGCAGTATAAGATAGTATCAGAAAGCGGATAAGAACTGCACATTTGATACCCCTCTTAAGCCTTCGACACGAGGGCGTGTGCCAAGTTGTGCCAATGTGGTTTACTTGAAGCCAAGCCCCCTATCTGGGGGGGGGGCATCCTTGGCCTGCTGTGTCGAGCTCATCCCAAGCAACTCGGAGGCTGTGTCCAACAACGCTGGCGTGGACAACTTTGGCTTGGGCCTCCTGCTCCAGTCGAGGCGCCTCACTGCCGCTCACGTTTCGGTGCGGCAAAGGGACCTGGGTGTTGCTTGTGTGATGTGAATTAGTTAGTGGAAGACCACAAATTGGAAGAGGCGATTTGTGGTTTCAAGATGTTTCAAGGAATATCCAAGTCAGATCTCAATAATATATAAGATGTGTTCACTATAATTTGTGTAATATAGTAATGTCTAATAAATTACATATATAGTGAACATCAATAGATCAATGATAGCCAGGGATCTCGGACATGTGGTGGCCCGGTTCTCGGGTCCAGTTGATCCGAGGGCGACAGCCCAGGCCGTAGTCAGGCCATTGAGGGGCCTTGAGCTTTGACACGGCACAGGCAGATCAAACGCATGATCTCTTCTTACGTGGGTGAGAACAAGCTCTTTGAGGCCTGCAGAGGGCGACCAGATGTCCCACAGCCTGACGCATGAGTGCTCAGGAGCTTTATCTCAGCGGCCAGCTGGAAGTAGAATTGACCCCACAGGCGCGCCGCTCGGACGAGGGACCATGGATGGATGACGGATGAATCTGCAGTGGGAAATCCACCTGCACGAAATCTCATCATTCGGTTGCAGGTGTTTGCAGGTGATTGCCCCCCCCCCCCCCACACACACACACACACACACACACACACACCATTTACAGTATATATTATATTTATATCCCAGAGTTGAAATTAGTGTAGTGTTCGCTTCGTGGTCAGGGCACTTTGGCGGAGCGGCTCAGAGCAGGCTGTCGTGAGTCGTGCGGGGATGGCTTCGTATGATTTGTGTGTTCACTGTGTACAGTCGATGAATAAATGGATCAGCTTTGGTGCGACTGTGATCTATTGTGATCTAACATAGAATCTACTTGCTTGAGCCATTCCGGACTCCCAGACCCTGAGACCGCCCGGGCTCGCGGACCCTTTCACTGTTGCGGACCTCAGGCGGTGCCGGCGTCCCCGCCTTCTACACTCGGACGGTGCTTCTGACCTGTCCGCGTTCGAGAGGGGTTCGAGCAGCTCGGCGGGTTCAAGACAGGGACGCAGTTGCAGCCAGGCCTATGGCACCGCTGTGCATGAAGGGAAGAATGTGATCAAGTATGGTCCAGGTGGTGCAAAGGCTGGTTCCAGTGATGAATGAATGATTGTGATTGATATCACTCAAACAACAGGGGAGAACAAGACAGACTAATACATACTACGTGATGTTTACATTGTTTGATTCTGTTGTGGGTCTTTGGTTGCCCTTGAAGAGTTCTTGGACACTTAGACGATCTTGAGCATCTCAGTGCATGTTGGAGACCGCGGGACCGAGACAACGGCGACAGGCAGGAGATGTGGCCATCATGAGTGAGCCCAGAGAGTCGAGGGACTTTGATGGCAAAGGCAGGTGTCCTCAATGACCGTTGATGGCGTCAGACCTATATAGAAAAAAACAGGTGTTGATGTATGGGATTTGGTACAGGTGTTGTTCCATCAGCAAAAGGCAACTTTCAACACCGCTCCAGCAGGGGCCTATGCAGCATGTGACTTGACTGCTTGGCAATTCGAATCAATTCGAGCAGCAATGGACACAATATGATATGACATGATACGACCCCAAAATACCTGCCAAACTGTGTTCGCCTTCAAGGCTACATCATGGAGAAGGCCATTGTCGGCGACTTTGCTCTAGTCAAAGCGTGGAAGGCCAGTGGATGGTTGGCTTGTAGATATATGATATTATGTGATATTATATATATATGATGATATGTGCAGTGTTTTGGTGGTTGTCCCGTGCTTGCATGAGCTAGGCTCCTGAAGCTGACATTAAGTCGATCCGATCCCAGAGTGCCTGATGAGTCCATGAGCTGTCGGACGACATCTACTCCATCCCATGGACAGTCGTGTAGACTTGGAATAATGAGTGTTACACTCCCGGTCACTCACATGGAAGTGGATGGCACCACCTGTTTGGTGTTCACACAATAGTCATCCAAGGGGCCATGCCATCCACTTCCATGTCAATTCCATTGAGTGTAAGTCGTAAAGCTAAATAGCTTGGCCGTTGGATACCTCACGAGGCCCCTCGTCTAACCAGGCCGACGAGCGGGGAAACCTCGTTTGGCGAGGAACCTCTCGGCCCCTCAGTGGCCAGCGAGTCGCGCGATGAGATGGGCCGAAGAGGGGCTAGTAGCAATGGGCTCCAACCTAGTAGCGTCCTTGCTCCTAGTAGCGATGCCAGGAGCCCCTAGTAGCGACCATTGCTCCTAGTAGTAAGGCCAGGAGCCCCTAGTAGCGTCCGTGCTCCTAATAGCAATGGCCTCCAACCTAGTAGCGATGGCCTCCAGGTCTCCAAACTTAGATCGTCTTGGATCCCGATGAAGCATGGACACGGCATAAGACTGCCAGGCCAGGGGTGTGGAATGATGATTTGGTCGGCCTACCAGACTATACTGTACCTTTTTCTTTGGGGTTGCAAACACGAAGATGCGGGTTGAGAGATGAGTAAAGGTGTGCTGAAAGCTTGGCCACTCGCAAGTGTCATTGCTCAATGTTGACATGCAACAAAAGCACAACAATTCAAAGCACATACCCACAATCTCACACACACAGCCCTGCAGAAAGCTCTACAGTATTCGCATGGCCCCTCCACCAGGTCCTGCTTTGACACTGTCCCGTCTCCACAAGGAATTTCAACCCGGACTGTGCTCGAGCTGCAAAGGCCGGCGGAGACAAGGAACGACGCGGAACGACGCTAGTATTGCCAGGAGCTACTTGTACCTTCTTGTTCCTACTAGTAAGGCACCTTGCTACTAGTCGCAGCCTTGCTACTAGCAGCGATGCACCGGTCATGCGTGATTGGGGCTTTACGGTGCTCTAAAAGAAGAAATTGGAGATGATTCCCGTGAGGTTTGCATCGCAGAAGTGGAAGAGATCGTCCCAGTGGGCTCACTGAGCCCTGAGGAGATGAGGGTCGGCTGGGAAAGATCCACAGACCTCAAAATCCTCAACACTACAAATCACTGGTCACCCAGTCACCTCTTGTCACTACTGTAGACATGTGCATTTTGTTCGGTTTCCAGGAACATAAGAAGAAACAGAAGCAGGATAGATTGGTCAGAGTTTTGACCTCACCAAATCGGATGCATCTTGTGGTGTTTTGACCCTCCCATTTTGAGACACCCGGACCTCCCATGTTCGCCCTTGGATCTTCACCACTTGCAGGAAATTCACCTCCCGGGCATCTATGTTCACAGGGTGATACAGGGCCAGGCAGCGGTGTCATCTCGCTTGATAGACCTAGACGCACCACCCAAGGGGTGTCCAATGGAAAAGGATGATTCATCACGAAAGGTAGCCCTTTAGGGGATACCTTGAGTTTGTCTAGCGAAGCAAGTGTTGGGACGTCCGGGTCTAATAATTGATCGCTCAATTCAGACCCCCCCCCCCCCGAAAAGTAGAGCCTACCTGTACAGGGTTCCACTCCAACAGCCGATATAGTGTGTCCATGCTTGACTGCTTCAAGGCTCAAAGAGCAAGAGGATAAGACTCTGCGCATAAAAGACACTAGCGGTCTGCACCTCTACCGTGTACGCCCTAGTCACTCTTTCAGTGGTAGCGGAGCAGTGATCCTGGAAGACCCAGGTGAGCTCCTTTCCTAGGCATAGACTTGCTAGTGGGCAAACAGCCATGGATTGGACAGACGACTGGGAAGAGCCTGATGCGGATGTGGCTTATGAGCCAACAGCCTACGTGAATAGGCATGTGAGAAGAGAACCAGCAGCAATAGCAATGACAACACAGGTCACTACAAAGGTGCCCCCATCTTATGATGGAAAGACTTCATGGTTTTCCTATGAGGATGCCATAGACGATTGGTGTGATATCACCGAGCTGGAAGATGAGAAGAGAGGACCAGCATTGAGAAACAGATTAGAAGGAGAAGCAGCTGTATACAAGCGTGTTTTAGACAGAGATGCATTGAAGGCAAATGATCCACCAGGAGCCGGCGTAGAATATTTCAAACGAGTACTACGACCATATTTCGTGAAAGGATCAACCAATGTATTCCTGTATAGATTTATGCAATTTGTGCGCTTCAATCGAGGATCAGCTGACATGATGAAATGGATGACAAGATTCCAGATTTTACTCCAAAGGCTTATGAGCAGTTGGATGGACATGTTAGAACCAGTCACTCAAGCACATCCACAGGTCCTAGCTCAGATGCAGGCAGATGCAGCGTTGACTGGAGTAGCGCCAACGGCAGAAAGGATTCAGGAAATCATGCAGACCATCAATGGCAATATGAGGACTTTTCATCAGAACGAATTTCCTCTAGGAGAAAATCTCATTGCCTTACTCATGCTGTCACTTGCAGATTTGTCTCAGGACCAGCGAAACACTTTGACTTCTTTGATGACTCATCGTGGCAGGGTCCTGCAGCAATACACTACAACAGAGTTGAGGACAGTGTTCATCGAGATGTTCTGCACGACAAAGACTTCAGTAGACAATCCTTTGATGCAGCCGACAGGTGCTGGAGGTAGAAGATCATTTCTCGTACTAGAAGAAGGAGAACTCGATGGTACATTTGGCTATTGGGCCGAAGATGAAGAAGATGGAACAGAAGGATTTTTAGATGCCCTGGACGATGTCTTTTGGGTATATGATGATCAAAACTTCTCGTGGTTCCAAAGGAGATTCCAAGGAAGAAGAGCCAGAAAAGGCAAAGGAAAAGGAAGAAGAAAAGGAAAAGGTAAAGGAAGATCAGGCCGCAGATTCTTCAGACCTCGTGGAAAGGGAAAAGGAAAGAGACGAGGTAAAGGCCATTTTGCTGATGAGCAACAGACAACTTATCCAGATGAGTACTTTGAAGAGAATCCTTATGAGGACACTTGGGAGTCAAACCAAGTAGCATATGATGCCATTCTTGCCGAAGATATGAATGACTATCTTCAAGGAGAATATGATGATGCCAACGACTTTTGGCAACAGCTTGAAGAAGCATGGTTTTCCCACAAAGGAAAAGGAAAAGGCAAGAGAAAAGGCAAGAAAGGAAAAGGAAAAGATAAAGGAGATGGCAAACAAGATGCAAACTATGCAAATCAACAACAGCCACGTTCTTTGCCTGCACCTTCAAGATCTTCACAAGCATCAGGAGGTCAACAAGGTTTCTTTGCACATTGTGTGACAGCAGCAGCTGAAGTCCATGACAGTGAGGTGAACTTGCTGTCAGGCATGATGACCTCATGTCAAGATGAAGCTGACTGCGCGGTCAACAATGGTGAGACGATCTTCAATGGCATGAGTGCCCCTGTGAGGTACTCTTTGTCAAAGGAGATGCTCGCAAATGCTCCTGATGGCTTTGCGCTTATGAGCGCTGAGGAAGAAGTGAAGGAGATGCAGGCCATTTCATTTTTGACTGAGAATCGCTTCCCGCCGACTATTGCAATCCTGGACATTGGATGCACTAGAGCTATGGGATCAAGGCGAGCAGTCGACCATTTTTGCAACTATGTCGACAATCAGCCAGATTGTGGATTATGGTACTCTTTTGAGGCTACCAAGAGCAAGTTTTACTTTGCCAATTCCCAGAAGGCTACTTGCTCTCAGAAACTGGTGATTTACATGTATGATCGTGCATGGACGATCCACCATACAGAGTTCGACATAGTGGAAGAAGGAGAAGTCCCTTTGCTTATGAGCTTGCCACAGATGAGGAACTTAGGCTTTGAACTCAGGCTGACACCTCAACATGCTTATCTGACATCGGTGCCTCTTGGTATCAAATATTTGGAGTTGAAGGTTGCAGCCAGTACTCATCTTGTTTTGGACTTCCAAGATATTGCATGGTATCTGTCTGACGTGCGTTTGCAGGCTCGGCGTGAGAAGAGTTTTTACTCTCACTTCACTCACTATGAATATGGCCATATTTCTGTTGATCACAATAGTGATGAAGATGAAGCTGAACATGCATATCCTGTGGTTGACTACTGGGAAGTAGATGTTCACAAGAGAGAACTGATACGTCGCCACAAGGATTATAGAAAGATTCTTTTTTCCAGCGACTAAGTCCTGTCCTGTAGACACTGACTTACTGGAAGACTTGCGACTGACAATCATCAAGAAGAAGAAAGGAGGAGAAGAGATCAAGAAGCAAGATGATTGGCGCAAGGCAAAGTGGAAGGACCTACAAATTGGCTATGAATGGCGTGGTAGAACAATTTTTAAGTTCAAGCCAGATGCCAAAATTCCAGATCTAAAGATCAGGAAGGCTGGCATTGAGCACCGTGGCATTGGTGATCCCGATGCAGTGGTGCGCTCCTCCTCAGAGAAGGTTCCCATTGCAAAGGACAGGGAACCAGGCTTCTCGTCAGAGAAGGAAGGTGCACCATCAAGTGCCGCGGAAAAGCCCGTGCCGCCAAAGTTTCGGTATACTTCCAAGGGTTTTGATCCATTTTGGAAGGGACACAAGTCGAAACCATCTGAGCCTCAGAATGATTTAAAGGGTGATGATCTTGAGGAGTATGCTCCCTCAGAACCACCTGAGAGGCCAGAAGGTGAGCTTGTAGAAATTCCTAAAGCATCAAAAGGACCATCAAGTGATAAACATGAACCACTTGAACCAGGTGATGGCGCTCTTGAGCCTAGGCGGATTTCAATCCCATTACCTGGTAGTGAAGTTGTTGCAATGACACCGGCATATAGGAAGATGTTACAGAGACTGGAGGACAAGGTAGAGCTTTATAAGCTTCATGTGAAGCACTACCATATGAGTCCTACTCAGTTTCGTAGACGTGTTTCTATGTTGAAGCTTCCTGACTCTGTTTTAGAGAAGTATGAATCAGTTGTCAGGAACTGCCGTGTTTGTAACACTTCAGTGGCACCTCCGCCACGAGCCAGAGTCTCCGGTATTAGAGCTTCATGTTTTGGTGATGTTGTTTTTGCTGATCATTGTGAGGTTGAACTTCACAAGAACAAGTATATCATCTTACTTGTTCTTGATGGTGCCACAAATCTTCTCTGGGCTATGGCACAGAAAGACCTCATAGATCAAACCACCATCCAAGCATTGAGGCAATGGTCTGATGAGAACAACTGTGTTCCAAAGGCCATCGTAGGAGACGAAGCCTTTTTCACCGATGCTTTTGTTGAATACTACAGGTTCCATGGTATACAACAATGTCCTTGTGGGCCAAGAACTCCTTGGCCGAACCGAGCAGAGACAGCTGTACGTTTGTTCAAACGTATGTGGCATGTTATGAAGGTAGATCTGGATGACCCACGTTTTCGTGGTGTTACGGTCAGAGAAGTGGTCAAGAAGGTAGTTTGGGCAAGAAATTGTCAGTTGACTATCAGTGGATATTCACCAATAGAGATAGCAACTGGAAGACGTCCACCAGATCTTTTTGACCTTGAGACCGCAAGCCCTGAGCAATTGTCAGCTAATGCCGCCGCACAAGATCGTACAAATTTGGAACTACAACGTGTGGCTTTGAGAGCTCATCAAGAAGCACGACAAGCTCAGGACCTTCGAGCAGATCTTGCAAGAAGGACTATGCCAAGTGACGGTCCTTATTTCCAAGGAGAGAAGGTTTTTGTTTGGACTCAGGATTCATCAAAGTTCAAGGATAAAGGACGTTGGGTTCGTGCCACAGTACTTGGACAAGAAGGAGCTATGGTCCAAGCCAATACTGGTAAGGCAGTGATACGTGTGAATCAGTCAAAGGTTAGACGCGATCGCGATGAGTGGCATGATGTTTCCATACCGGCATTAGACGATGAGAATCCGGAGAACTTACGTGAAGATTACGAACTGTATGTTGATGCCGAATTTGGAGAACAGTCCTTTTTCTTCTGTAATGATGATCATCCTGATGTTGTTGAGTTACTTCATGGAAACAGTGGATTATCTTGGTTCCTTTCAAAGAATGGTGTTAAAGTTGCACCTCCTATGGATTTCAAGGCAGGATACAACTTTTCCACTAGGAAGGGTCAAGATGGTATTTGGCAGCAACTGGAGAGATTGCAGCCCCACTGTATAGTGATCAACAACCCTTCTCCCAAACAGAACAGAGCTTCTATTTGGTTGCTATGTTGTAATGTGATTGAGTGGCAGTTGAGAAGGAAGAAACATGTGTTTGTGACTGTTCCCAAAGGAAACAAGTTTTGTTTGTTTTTGCAGAAGTTCATTTCTTCGTTGAAGGATCCGATTTTTAACTTTGATGTGAATATGAATTGTTTTTGTTATTGTCCGAAGGGAATGAGTT